TCATTAATTTACTAGTTATAGTATTTTTAATTTAATTTACTATTTAAAATAATTTAAGAACAAACTATATTGGTCTTTATTAAAGATATACTTATTAAACTATTTGAAAAAGTTAAGCAAATAAATCAAAAAATTTTAGTACTTGATAGTTGTATTTTAGTAGATCTTAAATTAAAAGATAAAACAATATTTTTTTTAAATATTAAGGTAACTACTTAGACTCTTGGCACTTTATTAATATAATCGGATAAGCTATTGTCAAGAAGACTAATTTTATATATTATATTAATATCATAAGGGTACAACTAGTTATATATACAACTTTTGGTTATATAATTTAAATAGTTTGTCCAAAGTGGTAGTGCTATGCTAGAACTCTAAAAAACTCTAATACAACTTATATATTATCAAAAAAGAAAATTTTATATAGAAATTTATCAAATATTGTATTTTTATATAGTAAATTTTTTTAAAATTTGCTTTATACAAACTTAGATCTAGATTGTATTAGAGATATTTAGGGTCCTACTATACTAAAGGTTCTATACTAGATATTATGCTGTTACAAGTAGACTATAGCTTTTTCAGAATTATAGTATTTGCAATATAGTATATAACAATAGAGATCTATAAACCAACAGAGTAAATATGAAGTAGTGTAGAAGTAAATATTACTTCACTAGAGTGATTCGGTATAGTTTATTTAATTGATAATCTGCTAGTTACCTGGTATATAATCATAGTATAATAGCATTTACTAATTTCTCCCCACAGTTCTGATTGGATATTAGAAATATTAATTCTTATTGGCTAATAGTGATCATGAGATTGCTGATTTATATGGGTTTATATTACTTTATAGAAGTTTATTTTACAGACTCCTTGTTTTACAGACAATCACTTTATAGACAAGTTTATTTTAAAGACAATTAATTTACAGACAGTTCATTTCATAGATAGTTCATTTTATAGACATTCTATTTTGTAGACAATTTTAACTTCTGAATCAGTGTTAAAAATTGTCTACAAAATAAAATGTTTATGAAATAAACTGTCTATGAAATGAACTGTCTGTAAATTAATTGTCTTTAAAATAAACTCGTCTATGAATTAATTGTTTGTGAAACAAAATGTTTGTGAAATAAATTTCTATAAAGTGATATGGACCCGATCTATATATATGCGATAGCACTTTTAGAAAGCTTATTATTTTTTTGACAAATTTATAAAAAGAAACCAAATTGTGCATCATTTAACTAAAGATGGAAATGTGTATTTTAAAAAATTAAAAAAAAATTAATACGTAAAACATATGTATATTACATATTAATTAGACTAAAACATATACATATTAAAATTTATTATAATATATAAAGCAGTTTCATTATATATAAAATTGTACATATTATAGTATTAAGAAAATAATGAATACATAGTATTGCGTATTAGCATTTGTGCATAAAACTGTATTAATAATCTCTAGATCTAGCATTAATTAGACTAAATGTATACAATATTAAATATATTAAACTCACATTTTAGATTTTTCAAGTAGAATCTTTACAATATTGAATTATAAATCAGAAAAATAAAAAGGTTTTCTTTTTAAACACAGTTTAAAAATTGACGCATATTCCTATCTTGATCAGCTAAAATGCAGCTCATTTAATGATTCAGTACTCCAATTTTAAGCCAAATTGCTTTCAGGTTCAGAGCAAAATAAGTATTGTTAGATAAAACATTTCAATTAGGGCTAAAATATTATATAGTATTAGTTAATTGTCAAATAATTATGTCTTACAAAAAAAGATTTAAATAAAAAGTGAATTGCTAGAAAAGTATTTTAGAATAAAAATTCATAAAATTATTGTAGTTCTCTAACAGTAGCATTATTTTATACTTATTGTTTTAACTTGTTTCTCTTTTATTATTTCTGCTACTTGAATCGATTTTTTTTAATTATGTTATCATTGCTTGATATCAATGAAATTTTCGATATTGATGAAGAAGCTAAAATGAATGATAGTGATACTAATCTTAGTAATAAGCTTGACAACACACTAGATTGAATTCTAGATGCCATGAATAGCACTAGATATATACAGAAAATAGTTGATGATAATAGAGAAGGACCTTCAGATAGAAGATCTAAAACATATCATATTTCAGTTAGGGTGGGAACATTTATTACCTAATTTTTTAGAGAGGAGGGGTCAGAGAGATTATCAAGTGCTATATGATATAGTATTATTAGCCAATCAAAATTGTCCAATTTTATTATATAAAATTTTTAATAATAATAATTAAAAATATAAAAATTATATTTTTTATTTATTAACCTCTGGCTATAATTTTCTTTATAACTATTAATTCAAATTAGATGAAATTTTTACCGGAGATAGAAGTGATATTGGGCTACAATATATTAAAATTTCAGCCAATTTGAATAAGTAGCTCTTAAGAAATTGTTTAAAAACTATAAGTAATTTTTTAATATAATTATTTATCGTTTTTAAGCAATTTCTCAAGAACTACTAATCCAAATTGGCTGAAATTTTAATATGTTGTAGCCAAGTATTACTTCTATTTTCAGTAAAAATTCATCCAATTTGGATTGGTAGTTGTAGATAAACTCATAGCTGGAGGCAATATAAATCTCAATTTATAACACAATACAGTATATACTATATATATATTGTAATGGCTGATGCTGAATTTGGCTAATGCTGAATATCATGTAATATTTCGGGCCAGAAATTGCAAATCGCGATCATGCTGTACGTACTATTTGGCCTGAAAATTGCAGGCTGTATGTACAATACAGCCATTGTTTTGTTATGCATGTTATGTATAAAAATTCTTTTTTTTATATTCGCCCTTTTGTGTATCCAACGATAACACAAGTTTTTTCCCGTTTTTTAGCATTTTTTTCCCCTTTTGCCAGTTTTTTTTTTTTTTGTCCAACATGTTTTTTAGCAAGGGTTTTTTTTCTTACAATTTTTCCCCTTTTGCTAGTTTTTTTTTTTTTAAAAATTTTTTTTTTTTTTTACTTATGCCGGCAATCCCAAAAATCCCCAAGACAGAAGCCGAATACCAAGCGATAGTGGAGTATCTTCACTCAAAAATGATATACGAAGATGTTCTAAAAAAGTGTATCAAAACAAACTTTATTCGTCGATGTACAAAATTTGTATTAGACGAAAATAGAGCCTTATACACTCTCGCTGTTGTAAAGAATGGTGTTATATTTGAGAGACACCGGGTGGTCCCCAAGTATGACCAAGAACTACGCACCCGGATATTACAGCATTTTCACAATCAAGCAAACCACCATAACTATCACAAGATATTTGCTGCTATTTCAGAACACCATATTGGAATTATGCAGGAAGAAGTCTAAGTGTATATCAACGAATGTGCCTCTTGTGCAGTAAGCACTTACCTTAAAGAAAAGACTGATATAGTGCTAGTAGCATCTGCAGCACCGTGGAAACATGTTCAAATTGACCTTGTGGACTTTTGTGATTACATAGAGATGAATAATGGTTTCACATGGTTACTTACATGCATTTGCATGTTTTCAAAATTCCTTGTAGCTGTTCCTCTTAAAAACAAGGAGTCTAATACTGTTGCAAATCATCTTGTAAAGAATGTTTTTAAGATTCTGGGTCCCTCCATGATTCTCCAAAGTGACAATGGCAAGGAGTTTGTCATGAAAGTTCTTACCCAAATATGTGAAGCTCTGGGTGTTACTATCAGGCATGGTCGCCCCCGTCATCCACAATTGCAAGGCCAGGTTGAACATCTTAACCAGACTGTTGGTCGTGGTTTTACCAAAATGCTATGGGATAAAAATAGTCAATTACAATAGAAAGACTAGGTTAATGTTGTTGATGCCTTCGTTGTATCATACAATTCTTCCACACACGAAGCACATGGTCGTACACCACACCAGGTGATGTTTGGTTGGAAAATGCGCTGCGTTTATGATACCCCCGAAATATTGCAGAATATTTCTACAGAGGTTGATTGTAATAACATTGATGTTACACCTGAGATAGTTGACCAACATATTTTGCGTGTGTTCAAATTCAACAAACTGTCAATGTATTACTAGAGAAAACTCGGGATAAGATGTGTAAGAAGGGTAGCATTTATAAGAAAAAGTTTCCGAACAATACAATTGAAGCCAGGACCATGGTTGCTATTGCACTAGATCATGATACAAACCAAAAAACGCGGAAGCAAAAGCTTCAGCCAATGTTTTCACAACAGGGTGTATTCAAAGCATTGATGTCCAACAATCGCACAGCGATTGTAGAAGTGGATGGCAAGGAGATCCGAGTTCCTGTTAACAGAATCAAAGTCATCTAAACAAAAAAAAAAAAAAAAACAAAAAAAAAAAAAACAAAAAAACAAAAAAAAAACAAAAAAAGAAAGATAATCGAAAAGAGACAATCTTAGGGTTAGTTTAGTTTATTAAAGTTAGGGTTAGTTTAGAGCACAATTGTTTTGACAATAAGAAACAGAAATACGATGTTGTTCGCATAATCAGAAGTCAAAGAAAAGAGAAATGAAGGAAAAAAGTAAG